AGGCTTAAAAGTTGACAATTGACCACAACCGAGCCCTCGAGGTGGAGTTCGGATACAGCTAAGTCAATGAAGAATTGAAGGATACTATAAACAATTGTTAAAAGTCAGAATAACCTTTATTGCTTTGATATGCGTGTCAATAGTGACCAAAAAATAAAAAGGTACCCTTCTTTATATAGTAGAGGAGTTTTAACCCTTATACAAGTCTAAATAAGATAAAAATCCTTCCCTCCCTTTTCTCCGAAGAATACATGATCCGCAGTTAATACCGGCGTGATTCGTGCCGCAATATCCTGCTAATGGCGGATATTTTGGCTCTCCGTTTGTCCTCTTTAACCGTCTTTCCTTTACCCTCGATTCTTCGTTTCGCTCGAGCTTGATTCTTCTCGGGTTCGGCCCATGCTCGATTCCCGACGTATCATTCGTCCGCTCTCGGTTCTGATCTATGGGCACCTTCGGTCTCATTCGAGCTAGTAACGAATAACGTTGTTCCTCGCTTCCTCAACAGGAAATAGGGGGTAACTCTATCCTCCGATTTTATCCGTACAAAGATAGTCCCCTCACTTATCGGAGAGTAGATTATAAGAGCGATGAGAAGTGACATATTGACCCCGGTTCCTTCTCTCGCACACCATAAGCAAGTTGACAAACCGAAATGTTCCATCAGTCACGTCGCTATGATTTTGAACATGCGTCAGCCGCCAGTTGATCATCTTCTCAGTTACCGAATATGAAACTTCATGCATGCATTATTCTTTCCCTATAAAAGCTCTCGTCTATTTTCACTTTTTTACTTTCTGATTTCGAATTTCATTGAGTTACCCTCGAGTTTTTTATACCCTCATCTGTTCGCTAATCCTTCAAATTTTTATAATTTGTTCTTCACATCCTCATACCTTCATAACTCATCTCCAAACCTTCAAATCTTCATACCAAATCTTAAAGCCTTTATATCAAACCTTCAAATCTTCATATTCCCAGACAAAGATGGCTAAGACTTCAAAATCGATTCCCCAAAACACCGCTCCAACGACTTCTTCCTCGGTCACCGGCACCGAGGCAGCGCCTCTGGTAGTAGCCCCGAGACCTCCTCTTACCGATTTAATCCTCAGCGGTTGCTCCATAGATAATGACTTTAAAGTCGAAAAAGCCTCTGCACAAGGGGATCGGGGTGAGGAGGCGTGGGGCTACATTTGCTCCATTACCGAGCAGACACTCGAAGCTGTCCGAGAGGACTGTAAATGGGAAGGCAAGGACATAGTCATTTCCAGTCCTGAAGATGACATCACGACGCACGTGGAAGGATACTTAAGTGTTACACGTATCCTTTCATATTTGGTTCTTTTGATACGATTGTCCTAGAGTTTTGCAAGAGGTACGGAATTTGCCTCAGGCAAGTCCACCCTCCTTTGGAGGATCGTGACCCTTCTCCATCACTTTGCGAACAATACAGAGGAGCCTCGGTTCACGATTAATCACAAGCTCTGAGTTTATAACCCCCGAATGTTCCGAGGGGGGTTAATCAAACTTGCCCGTCGGGCAAAGAAAGCTCCCTTCTTTTGTATAGATGAAGACAGTGACCGAGATTGGCAGGGTAGGTTTATTCAGATAAAGACCGAGCACCTTATTCCTTCCGAGTTCATGTCGTTCCCCGAGAAGCGGATCTCAAACCGTAAATTTACGTCCCCTTAAGTCGTCAAAGTATTTTCTTGTGTCTGTTTTTCATTCTCATTACATGTTCTATTTGACATGTAGATGTCCCCCAAGTCCCCAACACGGTCCGGCATTTTAGGGAGTGGGTCGAGGGTATATGTAAGCAGCTAACCTATCCCGAGCGTGAGTGGCGTTAGATCTCCAAATGCAAGTGGGAGGCTCATTCTCATGGTGAGTGCCCCTCTTTTTTGGGTAAATCCTTCTCCGAGTCATTTTTTATTCTGTCATTGTTATGACTAAGTCTTTTTTCATAGTTTGCCTAAGACCACAAAACTTTAGGAAATCGCCGATGTCGTGGCCTCGACCCCTTCTACAAAACCCTCCGCTTCTTTATAGCCCGTTGTTGAAGCTGCTGCGAAGAAGGAGGAGAAACAAAGAAGAAGAAAAGATCCCCCGACTCCTCAAATGCTCCAGCCAAGGCCAAGAAGAGGAAAATGATTGTGCTCAGGGTCAGAAAGAGCACCAAAACATCTTCAAGTGCCCGGGTCCCGAATTTTGAAGCTCTTCATCGGCCCAAAGATTTTCTTGACGATGACGAGGACATGGAGTTCGTCATTCATGAGTCGGTCGATGTCGGCCAAGAGTTGGCGGCCCTAGAGGGGGATGCTGGTAGGGCTGAATCCTACTTAACTTGGGGGACCGAAGAAGAATGTGTGGCTGATGCTTCGCAAGAAGCCCCTCTGGTCCCGAGAACTGTTGTTCCTGAAGATGATTTCATCATCCACATTCAAGAATCACCGCCCCATTTAGAGGCCACTTTAATTGAAGCTCGGGATGCTGAAAAGAAACCAACTGACGCATCCTGGGCTATGGATGATGCCCTTAACTCATTTTTTGAGGGTGTCGACGTCGACATGCTGGAGGATTACTCTGGCTTTGGCCACCTGGAGATCCTGAAAAGGGTCGTGCAACCGGGAGAAGGTGGGCCGAGTTCGAGTTCAAAACTCGAGAAGCAGTTTCTGGCCCCGAGTGTGGACTTTGAGCGAAAGAAGACGGTCATGTTCACGGTGCTGGCGGATACCAACATGTTGTCTGGGCCAGTCGGAGTGGCTAGCTATCTTCGTTCCTTGGTAACTGAGGAAGACCAAGTAAAGATTAACGAGGTAGATGTGCCAAATCTTTTCAACGAGGCTCAGCAGGCACTGAATCCTTATGTGTGGACCGCACATGAATTGTGCGATCACAGAACAAGGTTTGCATTGGTAAAGAATTCAAAATTCAGAGAGTGTGCAAATGACAAGACTTGAAGCCTTGCCTGAAGTGCGGACCGCACAAGAATTATGCGGCCGCAGAAGCTACATTGCAGCCGCAGATCAAATTGTGCGGCTGCAGATTCCAAGTCCATGCAAGCTGAAGCAATTTGCAGACCGCACATGGAATTGTGCGGCCGCAGAACCTCCTGAGGGGCATTTTAGTCAGCGAATTTTGGGCCACTATAAATAGACGAGAATCACATTTTTAGGTCAAGTTTCGAAGTTTGAGTTGTTGTAGCTGTTGTATTTTGCTATTTTACGAAGTTTGTGACTATTTTGGGATTTAAACATCATATTTTATCATTTTAATCTTAGATTATGAGTTTAATTAGCATTTCTTCTTTGTTTTCTTCATTTTTCACTATGAGTAGCTAGACTCGTACTAGGTTTGTGACCCAACCCTAGTGTGTAAACCTTATGGGTATTTAATTTAATGCTTGTTTATGATTGGGTGTTGATTATTTAGCCTTGTTTATGCTTTAATTTTAGAATTAATTGTTGCAAATATTGATTCATGCCTATTTGACTTGGTTCTTACTTAAGAAAAAGGTACCTAGTCTAGGAAAATTGGGTGAATTAAGATTTTGATTAGCCTAATTAAAGGGTTTGAACTAGAGATAGTGAGAACCCGACTTGAGCTCATATCAACTATTTGGCTTGATACCCATTTGGGCTTGAGAAAGCTAAATTGGGCAAAATCACTCATTGACCGAGATGTATTGAGTGGGTAACTTAGAGTTGAGAGCTATAATACACCCCGATCAATAAAATAAGTATTAACGTATTTAACCCATTAGGCAAATACCTAGGTTAAGGTCACATCCTTAGGCTTTTTAACCAATTGGAAAAATAACAAAAATAATCATTTGCTTTCTAGTTTATTCCCTTTAGCTTATAATTATTAGAGTTAATTTAGAAGTAGAAATCAAAACAGTTTGTTTGGAAGTGCAATTTAGTTGTTCCATCTGCTCTCGTCAAGTGTATACCCCTAACACCCATATTAAACTCCCTGTGGAAATCGACCCCGACTCTTGTTGGGTACTATTCTTCTAACGATCGTTTTCACTCACTATTGAGTGCAGATTGGACATGGATCACACCACCCTCTATTCCCCTTATAAAATCTGATAGACCTCATACGCATCCTTCTTACTTAAGGGATTACATCTACAAGCTGCCCACTTCCCTTTCTTGTTCCTCTTCTCAGCTAGTAGAATTTGAACCATATACATATTCACAGGCAACCCATATCCCAGCTTGGCAAGATGCCATGAGAAACGAGTTTGAAGCTTTGGAAGCAAATCACACTTGGGATATTGTTGAGCTTCCCAAGGGTAAGAAACCTATTGGTTACAAATGGGTCTATAAGATCAAATACAAAGCTAATGGTAAGGTTGAAAATACAAGGCTGGGCTTGTTATTAGAGGGGACACACAGGTTGAGGGAGTGGATTTCAATGAGACTTTCTCACTTGTTGTAAAGATGTCTATTGTTAAGTGCTTGATTGTTGTTACTGTTAAAAAGAATTGGTCTTTATTTAAACTTGATGTCAATAATGCCTTTTTTCATAGTGACTTAGATGAAGAGGTTTATATGAGATTACCTCCTGGCCTCTCTGTTTCTTCTCCTTCTTCTGCCCCTTTGGCTTATAATCTGAAAAAATCACTTTATGGGTTGCGTCAAGTCTCTAAACAATGGTATGCCACGTTATCCGATGCTCTTTATTCTAGAGGATACCATCATTTCGTCAATGACTACTCCCTTTTCCTCAAAGGGTCTCCAGGTAATTTGGTGATATTAGTGGTCTATGTTGATGTTATCATCCTCACAGGTGATGATTTGGTTGAAATTTTAGCTTTAAAGCATTTTCTAGATGATGAGTTTAAAATTAAAGACTTGGGTTTTCTACACTATTTCCTGGGCATTAAGGTTACTGCTTTCCGTGATGGTGTTCTTTTAACTCATACTCGACCTGACATTTGTTTTGGGGTTCAACATTTGAGCTAATTTTTGCACACTCCCACGATACCTCACATGGTTGCTGCTCTCCACCTGCTCCGGTATCTTAAGGGCACACTTGATTTTGGTTTATTTTACTCTAACAATCTTGATTTCTCTGTGAAGGCTTATACTGATAGTGATTGGGCCTCTTTCCCTGACACTCGCAAATCTGTCTCGGACTATTGTATTTTCTTGAGAGACAGTCTTGTTGGCTGGAAGTCCAAAAAGCACCATGTGGTTTCTCTATCATCCGCTAAAGCTGAATATCGAGTTGTTCGTCATGTGGTGGTTGAATTAGTTTGGTTGTCTCAACTGTTACATGATCTAACAGTCCCTGTTTCTGTCTTTTGTAATAACATGGCAGCTCTTCATATTGCAAAGAACTCGGTGTTCCATGAGCGTACAAAGCATATCGAAGTGGATTGTCACTTCATCAGAAACAAGTTAGCTGAGTGGTTCCTCTAGTCATCCCATGTTTCCACCTCCAACCAACTTGCCGATGTTTTCACCAAACCGCTGCCTGGAGTCCTTCATCATACTTTTCTAGGCAAGTTGAAGGTGATTTCCCCCTCCAACTTGAAGGGGGTGTTGGGCCTCCAAAGCAAAACACTTGAGTTGGCCCATTTCTTTATTTATTCTGTAAATAGAAGTCTTGTATAGATAGCCATTCTTTGTATTATATTAGAGTTAGCCAGATTTAATAGCTTAGTCTCAATATTGTTGTGTTAGTTTGTAAACATTGAGGACCGGATCTGGTGAAGTATAAATAGTCTTAGGCCCAACTGTATTGGATTGGCCGGTCATTTCTCTTATTTCACTGCCTCGTTTCTATCTCTCTCCGATAGGAAACATCTAGAAGCCCTAACCTCCATCGACAAATCCTTTGATTGAGCTCGTATCTTCTATATTATCAGTAATTGTGAAGGCGAAGTAGAATTATGGTGCACTGTCATCTACGCCCCATACCCATTTACTGCTTTTCCACTCCATGTTTTTTTAAACGGATCGAACAGAACTTATTAGGAGAAAATGATAAAAATGACCTCTTATGTTTGGGCTATGTTTAAAGTAGCCTCTTAAGTATACTTTTGAGTATTTTTTGTCTTTTAAGTTTGTAAGTATCATTTTTGGTCTCCGTTAGTATTTAACGAACTTTGACACCGTTAGATTTTATTGAGAATTGTGAAAGAAAGAATTAATGGAGGTGTAATTTTTGCTATTTATTGTCTATTTTTTATGTCGGGTGCAATTGTTTTCGGAAGTTTCTAGAATTTGACAAGACTTTTATGATTACATTTATGGTTTTTCATAATTTTTGTTAAATTCGATAGTCATAATTTGTTAAATAATAGGCCGAGAGGAAAATATTTACACAAACCTAGAAAATCAAACGTGCTCAGAAGTATACTTAAGATACTACTTATAAGGAGCAATTTTTGTCATTTTCACGCCATATTGCCAAAGAAATACTGGTCATGTCAATTGTTTATGGTGTATCATTTTTTTCGGTGTTTGTATTTTGGTTTTGGCATGAAGCATGATTATTTTCAATCCCAAAACAATCTAATCTGCAGACTGCAATATCAGTTCAATCTCCCGAACATCGCCGCACCAAATCCTTAGTAGCGTTGGTTTTATTGGGTTCCTTTATCCGAAAGCATTAGCAACCATTAAGAAAGAGAAGTCATATTATCCATTGAACTTGTGCACATTCAACTTAATATTGTTAGTTTGGTCTGGTACGTAACAATGAAATGTTTTATGTAACATTATAAGTACCTTTTTGCAAGGCTATTTATGGATGAGAATTGTCACAAAAGAATTGTTTTTGGCTTTATCCATTTTGTATTTCAACTGACATGGTGACTGTCACGACCCGATTTCTCCTATAAGTCGTGATGGCGCCCAACGTTACAGCTAGACAAGCCAATAGTGAACTAACCCTGTAGTTGTTCCTTTTAACAATTTAGAAATAGTTGATTTTTAATTATTAGATAAGTAAGAAGTGAGAAATTTTATAAATTAAAGAGCAACCAATTATAAGGACAGATGTGACGAAATAAATACTCAAAAATTATTAATTGTCTACTAGCATAATCTCCAAGACCTGTTGTCATAAGTGTATGAGCTACTAGTAGAGTATATAAAAATACTAAGCTATTGTCTGAAATAAAGTAGACAGAAAGCAAATACAAAAGAAAAGACTTCGGATGCTGCAGAACGGGCTCGGAAGGCAGCTCACCGCAAAGTCTCGGAGTATCAGGAGTGCGCGTCGGGGTGAACCAGATGCACCTGCCTCAGATCCTGCACGGTTAGTGCAGAAATATAGCGTGAGTACATAAACAACATGTACCTAGTAAGTATCTAGTCTAACCTCGAAAAAGTAGTGACGAGGGGTCGACTCCGACACTTACTATGGGCTAACAATAAAATACCGAAAATTCTATATAAGCATGGGCTATGTAAATGATAATGAGAGCTCAATAACAAGCAGTAAATAGCAATTCTTTCACTAATAGTAAATCCCAAATCAATTTTCATCATTTAACAATTGTAACCTCTCAAGCCAATAAAACGATATCATGTATAATTGGGCTCCAAGTATTATTACGCACAATTTATGCCGAGGTCATATGGCCCGATCCAAAATACACACACACACACACACACACACACACACACACACACACACACACACATATATATATATATATATATATACTGTGTGCACTGCCGATGGTCGAACGACACGAACCATAGATGCATCTATTAACTTGCCGAGGCGAACGGCCCGCTCCCATGAGAGTAAAGGAATTTACCTCGCTCACGAAAATACTTGCGACGTGAGTGGGCATGGATTTCTCAAAGTTATTATATAATTCTTAAATTCTTTCCAAAAATAAGAAATTCAACTTTGAAAAATTTCAACCTCACAATCCCTCATCTCAGCTCTATTAAGGCAATTATTATGCATAATAAACATGACAGTACAAACAAAGCATGATGTAAATTCTAGACTACCCGAACAACTCATGAAATATAATTACGCACGGACTTTCGTCACCTAGTGCGTACGTAGCTCCCCACACGAGTAATTCACAACAACAATATACCTAAGGGGATGAGTTCCCTATTACAAGGTTAGGCAAGAGACTTACCTCGTCTCAAAGCTCACTTTTCGGCCCACAAATTTATTCTAAAGACTCAACTTGGTGCCGAACAATCCAAAACTAGTCAAATGTTATATAAATTTATCAATATATGTTCAAAAGTTCATAATTTAACTATTAGAGTAATTACCCAACCTAAATTGGAAGATTCCTAAAATTCACCATCGGGCCCACGTGCCCGGATTTCGAAAATTTTTGAAGATAAATATTACCCATAACCTCACGAACTCAAATATATAATTTTTATCCAACACCATAATTATTTTCGTGGTTAAATCTCATTTTTTTTCAAAACCTAGATTTTTCAACTAAACCCATAATTTTTATAATTTTATATGTAAAAATCTACCCATAATCTATGTATTAAACTTACATTGGGTAGGAATTACTTACCTTCAATAGCTAGGTTGAAACCCCTCTCTTTAAAGCTCCAAAATCGCCCAAGAGTGCAATAAATGAACTCAAAATGGTCTAAGTCCTGTTTTTAAAAATGATTCTGCCTAGTGGTCCTTATACGCGATCGTAGCCAAGCTCTCGCGATCGCGAAAGTAAAACTGAGGAGCCCAAAAAAAGGCTCTATGCGAACGCGAGAGGAGCCAAGCGAACGCGGTGCACTGGGCCGCCTACTATTCATGAACGCGAGGCCCAACACGCAAACGCATAGGGCAACTGGGTTGCCCAGGCTCGGGCCTCTACGCAAACGCGGCCTGCCAATCGCGAATGCAAAGGCAAAAGAGCCCAGGCCTCCGCGAACGCGGCCTTGCGTACGCGAACGCGAAAGGAAAAAAACCTCCAGCCCCACTACCCCAAATCCTTCATCGCGAACGCGAGAGTCCTTCCGCGTTCGCGAAGAAGGAACTCAGAACTGAAAAATCTGATGTTTCCAACTTAGCTCCGGACGGTCCGAAACACACCCGAGCCACTCGGGACCCCGTCCAAATGCACCAACAAGTCCATAAACATAATATGGGCCTGTTCGCACTCACGAAATGCGTAAAACAACAACCAAACTAAGAATCGCACCCTAAAACCAAATTGAGTCAAATTATGAACTTCAAGTTTCCAATTCGCTCCGAACGCGCTGAATCATACTTAGACTACTCGGAATGACACCAAATTTTGCGTGCAAGTCTTAAATCACCATACGGAACTATTCCTAGGCTCGGCATCCCAAACGAACCTCGATAGTACCAAATCCTACTCCAAACCAAATTTAAAGAACTCTAATACCTTCGATGTGCCAACTTTCACTATTAAGCGCTGAAATACTTCCGAGTCATCCAAAACCCGATCCAAACATATACCTAAGTTCAAAATCATCATACGAACCTATTAGAACCGTCAAATCCCGGTTCTGATGTTGTTTACTCAAAACGTTGACTCAAGTCAAACTTAGCCCTTTTTAGCCAAAGTTAAGGAACTAAGCGTTGCGATTTCAACTCGAACTCTTTCAAACCCGAACCAACCATCCCTGCAAGTTATAAAACAGTAAAAGCACATACGAGAGTCTTATTTAGGGGAACGGGGATCTAAAAAGCAAAACGATCGGTTAGGTCGTTACAGTGACATTAATAGTTTGAATTACCGATCACCTACTATCTCTCACGGTGAAAACCGATTCCCAGGTACTTATCCTACTAACAACAGGCAATTCCAATGATGATCACTGAACTTGATGATCACTGAACTTGATCACGGTGAATACATTTTGAATGCATGTAGGTTAAAATATAGCCGTTTGCTATTTATAAAATAGTCATTTAACCCTCCTCCCCTTCCCCCCCCAAACTTTATTTTAATCCTAAACTTTTTATACATTTAATATATATACTATACTATACTATACTATACTATACATTTATTANTTACAAAGCATTGCCTTAGATATTTTTTTTAACATTCTTTTGTCTCTAATATCTATTTAATTTTTAAAAAAATATATATATGTTAGGCCCACTTAGCCCGTTTAGCCCGCGGGCCGGGACCGTTTAGCCCGGGACCAAACGGTCCCGGTCCCGGACCGGTCCCTACAAAAAGCCCATTTAGCCCGGGACCGTTTGGCCCGTTTAATTTGGGACGGGCCCCGGACCGTTTGGACCGGCCCACTTGGCCCGTTTTGGTCCGGGACCGGCCCACTTGGCAGCCCTAGGTCATCCAAAACCCGATCCGAATATACACCCAAGTCCAAAATCATCATACGAACCCATTGGAACCGTCAAATCCCGGTTCTGAGGTCGTTTACTTAAAATGTTGACTCAAGTCAAACTTATCCCTTTTTAGCCAAAGTTAAGGAAT